GCCTTAGAATACCTGAAAGAATTAAGGGGGAAAAATGTGAATGGGTCAAGGAAATAATTCAATTATAAGCATATTTGAATCACTAATTAGTTCCTCCCCTCTGCATTTTCCTGGGCAGCAAATGTTGGTGCTGACCTGCCCTACTTGCCTCTCTTATTATGTAGGTACAGCTGAGTGGATTTAAAACTACCAGGATTTTCAAATAACCAGGAGTACAAGAAACCCACTCTGAAAACACCATACCTGTAGACCCAAAGGGGAAATTCTGAGTATATTTTGTTCTAATAGAACAAATTTGTAAGATAATAGCATCCTTTATAGTTACAGCAAAAGATGAGAAATTGAACGGGGAAAAAGCATCTATATTTGTGCCCTGATCCAAAACTCTCCAGTGGACATGCTCAGTTTGGCCATAGACTGGTCTGGACAAGTGCCATGGGTAGTTCCCAGAATGCCCATCTGCAGTCTGAGAGATTCTGAGTATCCCCAGGATAACACCATTGTGCTGATCAGCAATAATTACTGCAGTAATTACTGCACACCATTAAGCAGGCCTTTCTTTCTTTTTTTCTCTCTGTTTCTGGCCCAGGACAAAGTTTGCCAGGAGCTGCAGCCGCCTTGGTTATACCGTGGCTGACCTAACGCTGTGCTCCTGGACTTTCCAGAGGCTATACCTTGAAATCAAGTGTTGAATTTTTTAAAATATTCATGTGTAGACCCCACCCTTAAATATTCTTAACTGAGCCTGCAGTGGGACATGGGCACCTGAACTTTTTAAATTCCTCGGATAAAACTCTGAGGAGTACTATGGTGTTGACAATCAGTCCTAATCAGACGGGAATGCTGGTAAGGTCACAAGGACACAGATCCAGCACTAAGATTATGTAGGTGCAGCTGAGTGGGTTTAAAGTTACCAAGACTTTAAGAGGCGCCTGGGTGGCTCAGTCGGTTAAGCGTCCGACTTTGGCTCGGGCCATGATCTCATGGTTCGTGGGTTTGAGCCCTGCGTCGGGCTCTGTGCTGCGTCGTCCAGCTCAGAGCCTGGAGCCTGCTTCAGATTCTGTATCTCCCTCTCTCCCTGACCCTCCCCTGCTCGTGCTTTCTCTCTCTTTCTCTCTCTCTCAGAAATAAATAAAACATTAAAAACATTTTAAATTACCAAGACTTTAAAACTACCAAATATATAAGAAAAGCATTTTGAAAATATCATCACTGTCCCTGGCACAGACTGCCCCAGCTACCTGTTTGTGCCACAACACTGACAGCTCAGCCCCCTTTCCTCTTCCACTTGGCCCTCCACATACTTGGCCCCTCTCTCTTCCCTCCTCTCCCCCCTGACCATTCCTGTCTTCCTTTCGGGGCCACTGGGAATTAAATCAGCTGTAGTCCCTGGAAAGGTCTCCATCCTTCTCTGCTGAGTTTGTCTTCCCATAAATCAAAGGCTAACACTTTGGATAATTGAGAAAATTGGAAACCTGTTGGGTGGAGTTCATGTCTTTCCAACAGTAGCAGAGCAAACAGGGACCATATGCTATATGTCCTTACCATATGTCTTCCTGTCCTTTCCTGAATCCTGTTATTAACAGAAAGCAGTAATGAAAAAATCTATTGTTTTCAATTCTACTTAGTAATCAAGCATTAAGAAAGTATTATTGCCTCCTAGCTTAAAAAAAAATTGAGATTATACAATGCCTCACACGTGTGTATAGGGTTAAATCCAAATCTTACTCTCCTGTGCACACACAATAACACACCAATGCCAGACAGGTTCACGTTCATACACCTATTTGTAGTGAAACTGCTTTATAAGCCCTGGTAGGTATTTTTGTCTAATTAACTGGAGTGTACCTTTCTGATATAATGGTGTAACCGTGAAGAGATGGCAGTACTTTAAAAAAAAAAAAAAAAACGGTTTCTGGTATAGTGTTTTAGAAAACAGTTTTGACAATATAATTTGCCAAAATTACACATTTATTCTTTTTATTTGAAGATCTGATAATGTGTTTCTTAAAAAAAATTTTTTTTAATGTTTACTTGTGAGAAAGAGAGAGATAGAGTGCAAGTGGGGAGGGGCAGAGAGAGGGAGACACAAAACTGAAGCAGGCTCCAGGCTCTGAGCTGTCAGGAAAAAGCTGACATAGGGCTCCAACTCACAAACCATGAGATCATGATCTGAGCTGAAGTCAGATCATGACCTGAGCTGACTGAGCCACCCAGGCACCCCAATGATAATGTCTTATTTCTGTGACATACATTTTAAAATTATGACTGATATCATTATAACAGGACATAACAGGTTTTTAGGAATTTTATGTAAGTATATTCTAATATATAATATAATGTTTCTCATACACATTTATTCTTTTATGCAAACTTTAGAATCATTCCGTTGAGTTATTTTTATTTTTATTATTATTGTTTTTTTTAAGTAGGCTCCATGACCAACATGGGGCTCAGTATTATGACCCCGAAATCAAAAATTACATGCTCTATTGGCTGAGCTAGCCAGGTTCCCCTGTTGAGTTATTTTTTTTAAAGTTTAGAACCACAAGGATTCTAATGAGAAATTCATATATTATATATGGACAATATTTATATTTTCTTGCTATTAAATGTTTATAACCAGAAACATGGAGTCACTCTCTTTATTAAGGTCTTATTATATGTTCTTCAATAAAATGGTGTATTTATATTCTTAAAGGTCTTGTATATTTCTTGATAAGTTCATTTCTAGGCATTTTAAAAAACAGCTTTAATGAAGCATAATTCACTTTATAGAGTTGCATAACCATCCCCATTAATCAGTTTTAAGGGCTTGCCATTGCCCCCAAAATTTCCCTCAAGTCTTTTTGCAGCTTACCCCACTTCCACACCCCTGGCCTTAGGCAACCACTGATTGTTCCATCTTTATAGATTTGCCCTTCTGGACATTTACTATGAATGGCATCATATATATGTAATTTTTTGTATCTGGCTTCTTTCAGTTTGTATGTTTTGAGGCTCATTGGAACTGTAGCATATATTAGTAGTTTGCTGATAGTATTTTGATTGCTGAATAGTATTCTAATGTATAGCTATGTTCTAATGTTCAGCTGTTGGCTGAAGGTCTCCTTCACTTCTTTGCCACATGGGCAAAGGGCAGCTCACACATGGCAGCTGGCCTCCATCAAAATGAACAAGTGAGAGAGCAAAAGATGGTGAACAAGACTGAAGCCAGAGTCTTTTTGTAACTGCATCTCAAAAATGACACCCCATTACTTAGGGATTACCTACCACATTGACTATGGTTTGTTTGTTTTTTTATCACTGTGGCTTTAATTTGCATTGCCTTAATGATTGATGATGTTGAATACCTTTTCACATATGTATTAGCCATTCATATATTCTCTTTGGTGAAATATCCACTCACATTTTTGCCCATTTAAATAATTGAGTTGTCTGCCTTCTTACTATTAAGAAACAAACATTTTTTAAATACTCTGGATACAAATACTTCATTTGATATTTGATTTGTAAATCATATTAGTTTTCTGTTGCTTTGATATCAATTACCGCAAGCTTTGTAGTTTAAACAACACAAATTTATTATCATACAGATCAATAGGTTAGAAATCTGGTAGGAGGTTCTCACTGGCCTAAAATCCAGTGTCTGCAGCTGTACTCCTTTCTGGAGGCTTTAGGGGAAAATCTGTCTCCTGCTCACTCAGGTTGTTGGCACAATTCAGTGTCTTGTGCTGTAGGACCAACATTTCCAAGTTCTTGCTGGTTGTAAATTCAAATGAATGGCTTAGAGGCCACTGAGTTCCTAGATTCTTGGCCTCTTACCTCCATCTTCAAAGCTACATCATCGAATCTTGGGGTCGAATCTACCCCATGCTGCATCTCTCTGACCTTTCCTCCTCATCAATGTCTCTCTCAACACAGCTGGGAAAGGGTCTCCTCTTTTAAGGACTTGTGTGATTAGGTTGGGAACATCTAGACAATAAAGGATAATTTCATTTCAGGTTTTTTAACATTAATCATATCTGTAGAGTCCCTTTGCCTTGTAGGGTTATATATGCATAGGTTCTAGGCATTAGGTAGTAGACATGGGGAAGGGGACATTACTCTGCCTACCATACACATATTTCCGCCCAGTTTATGGCTTGTCATTTCATTTTCCTAATGGTGTTCTTTGAAGTACAACATCTTTAATTTTGATGAAGTCTGGTTTATTGACATTTTTTCTTTCATGGATCATGATAAGAATACTCTGCCTAACCCGAGGTCCTGAAGACTTTCTGTTTTGTTCTACAAATTTTTATAGTTTTAGGTCTTCAATTTAGATTTATGATCCACTGTGAGTTAATTTTTGTATATGGCTCTAGGTAAGGATCTATTATTATTGTTTTTTTTTTTTTTTGCATGTATCTATCCAGTTATTTCAGCACCATTTATTGAAAAACTCTCCTTACTTTATTTGAATTGTTTTGGCACTTGTGTTGAAAATCAGTTGGTTCTAATTGTCAGGATTAAATTTCAAACATTCAGTTCTCTTCCACTGATTTGTATGTCTCTCCTTGTACCAATATAGCACTGCCTTCTTTCCTAGGTGTTTTTCAGTTTTTGTTACTGTTAGGAATGGAGTTAAGATTATTTTGAATCTAAAATAATCTTAACTCAGAAATATTTTCCTTAAACCTACAGAGAGTTGAATATTTAATCTATTATGACACTGTCTTGGCTTTGGAACAGAAGGAAAATGCAATTTTTATGCCTAAATTAGGTAATTTGAAGATTGCTTTGAATCTGTTGAATTCTACCTTACAGAACTGAGGTGCAAAGATAACAGATATTTTGATATTAGCGTTACATTAAATATTTTCATGAATAGTATTTAATTTTGTATTTTGAATTTGAATAGGAATTACTATTATTGTTGTTGTTGTTACTACATGTTAATATTTCCTTGGTACAAGTAACATTTCCAAAGATGTGATTTTCTTTCTTATTTCTGGAAGATCAATCTCTAGAATCCCGTAGACTCTGCAACAAGCCAATTCAGAGCTTGCCCAACATGGATGGCATATTCAACGAAGCCCTTTTGAAGATGCGGAAGCAGCATCCTGGGTGCCTTTCTCAGGAGACTTGTGTCCGTGCAGTCCAGGCTGCCGTACAGTACCCCTATGAGGTGGGCATCAAGAAAGAAGAGGAGCTGTTTATGTACCTTCTGAAATCAGGGCAGGCTCAAGCACTGCAATATGTTTTCTTTGCTGAGAGAAAGGCAAATAAGTGGTCAACTCCCTCAGGAGCATCCTGGAAAACAGTGTCAGCGCGGCCCATCTCCTCAGTTGGCGTTCTCGGTAAGAACATGGTGTGGTTAAAGGCATTCTCCAAATCTGCACATATAAAGTGCTACTGTTTGCTTAGGGCCACTGGGTACCAGACTCTATACTAAACACGTTACTTGTGTAGCTAACTTATTTTGTACCCCAGCCCATGAATTATCTCCATTTTACATGTGAAGCCTAGAGACACCAACCTTTCCACCAATAAGCTAAACACAAGTGGTATAAGGATCTGACATTCAATCTGTCTGACTCCAGGTTCTGGGCATTTTTTACTTATCTCCTCTTCCCTGCTTGAATCTCTCACTCCTGGACTTCCCAACAGTGGTTATTATTTGTACCACATTTCAAGGAATGGTATGTTACTCTTGTATCTAGGTATTTAGAATGAAGGCTCTGCCTTTCTGGTCCCTGGATCCATTCACTCCTCTTCATTGGATACCACTATCCTCAAATCCCTCTGCACCCTGAAATAGTAACCTCCTTAATTTTTCCCTCAGGAATATTCCCAAACAAAATGTCTTCTTTCCTCAGAAGTTAGCCCTCTGATTAGCTTCTTGGCTCTACTTTCCTAATCTTCATTTGCTCTTAGTCTTGATCAAAGAATGGTCTTTGGTGGGTTTTATTTCATTTTATTATTATTTTTAAAGATATAATTTATTGTCAAGTTGGCTAACATACAGTGTATATAGTGTGCTCTTGGCTTCAGGAGTAGATTACCATGATTCATTGCTTATATACAACACCCAGTGCTCATCCCAACAAGTGTCCTCCTCAGTGCCCATCATCCATTTTCCCCTCTCCCCTGTACTTCCCATCAACCCTCAGTTTGCTCTCTGTATCTAAGAGTCTCTTATGGTTTGCCTCCCTCTCTCTTTGAAACTATTTTTTCCCCTTTCCTTCCCCCATGGTCTTTTGTTAAGTTCCTCAAATTCCACATATGAGTGAAAACATAGGATATCTCTCTTTCCCTGACTTATTTCACTTAGCATAATACCCTCCAGTTCCATACATGTTGTTGCAAATGGCAAGATTTCATTCTTTCTCATTGCTAAGTAGTATTCTATTGAATATATAAACCACACCTTCTTTATCCATTCATCAGTTGATGGACATTTGGGCTTTTTCCATGATTTGGCTATTGTTGAAAGTGCTGCTGTAAACATTAGGGTACATGTGCCCCTATGTATGAGTGAATGAATGCTCCTGTATCCCTTGGATACATTTCTAGTAGTACTGTAAGGTAATTCTATTTTTAATTTTTTGCGGAACCTCCACACTGTTCTCCAGAGTGGCTGCACCAGTTTGCATTCCCACCAACAGTGTAAGAGGATTTCCATCTCTCCACATCCTCGCCAACATCTGTTGTTGCCTGAGTTGTTAGTTTTAGCCACTCTGACTGGTGTGAGATGGTATCTCAGTGTGGTTTTGATTTGTACTTCCCTGATGATGAATGATGTTAAACATCTTTTTATGTGTCTGTTGGCCTTTTGGATGTCTTCTTGGAAAAGTGTCTATTCATGTCTTCTGCCCATTTCTTCCCTGGATTATTTGTTTTTTGGGTGTTGAGTTTGGTAAGTTCTTTATAGATTTTGGATACTGACCCTTTATCTGATATGTCATTTGCAAATATCTTTTCCCATTCCATCGCAAAAATGAACTATTGGGACCTCATCAAGATAACAAGCTTCTGCACTACAGAGGAAACAATCAACAAAACTAAACGGCAACCAACAGAATGGGAGAAGAAATTTGCAAATGGCATATCAGATAAAGGTTCTTTGGTAGATTTTAAACCCCATGAAATGGTAAGCAAAATGTTATATGTGTCAGCTTATGTACAGTCTTTCTGGGGGACAAGGTGTACTGAAAGTGTCAGCTTTCTTAAACCTCACTCAGCTCTCCAGCACCCACCCAGTTTGGAGGGAAAGAGCCTGCTCAACATCTTCTTAGCCTATTGTTATCAGTCACACTGTGCTCCTTGCAGCATTAACTCATTCACTTTTGATTTTGTTTAATGTTTGTTTATTTTGAGAAAGAGAACAAGAAGCACATGCTCACAGCAAGGGAGGGGCATAGAGAGAGGGAGAGAGAGAGAAACCCAAGCAGGCTCCATGCCATCAGCACAGAGCCCAATGTAGGGCTTGACCCCATGAACCATAAGATCATGACCTAAGCCAAAATCAGGAGTTGGACACTTAACTGACTGAGCCACCCATGCACCCCCAGTTGTGGTTTTTAAAAGAGGTGGGTAGAGAGAGTGTGACAGAGAACTATGAGTGTTCCTTTTTTTGTGCTTTTTCAGCAGCACCAATATTTATTCCTAAGTTGTTGTGCAGTTACCCTGTTTCTTCTCTATATTCCTTCAAGCCAAGAATAATTAATGCAATATAATAGCAAAGGTAAAATATATCAGTATTGTGTTGGTCAACCATTGTTTGAAAGTTTCCCTATTTCCTTGTTGTGAGCCTTTTTTAAAAAAATTCCAGATTCATGTCTGACATGAAATATCTAAAAGTCTGAAGTCGTTTTTTTTTTTAAGTTTATTTATTTATTTTGAGTGAGAGAGAGAGAGAGAGAGCAGGGGAAGAGCAGAGAGAGAAGGAGAGAGAGAATCCTAGGCAGGTTCTGCCCTATGAGTGCAGAGCCCGATGTAGGGCTTAATCTCACAAAGTGTGAGATCATGATTTCAACTGAAATAAAGAGTTGGGCACTTAACTGTAACTGACTGAGCCACCTAAGCACCCCTGGAGTTATTTTTTTTTTAAGTGTACCTCACATTGTTCAGAAAAATATTTGAAAAAGCATTTAAGGGCACCTAGGTGGCTCAGTCAGTTGAACGTCTGACTTCTGCTTGGGTCCTGATCTCACAGTTTGTGAGTTTGAGCTCTATGTTGGGCTCTATGCTGACAGCTCAGAGCCTAGAGCCTGCTTCAGATTCTGCATCTCCCTCTCTCTCTACCCTTACCCTGCTCACACTGTCTCTCTCAGAAATAAATAAACATTAAAAAATTTTTAAAGAAAAAGCATTTAAAATATATAGATGGTAACTTGGATACAAATAAAGTGAGAGAGTTTGGTCATTTCTCCCTTCTTCATGCCTGTCCCCATACTACCCTATACTTGTTCATTGTGACTCAGCCTCCCACTGCACCCAGTGCCCTCCAGAATGCTCCTACAGCCTCTTCTGCTTCATTAATGACTTCTGTGTGTCTCCTGCCTATAACCTGGCTTACTCTGGGCACACACTCCTCCTGCAGCCCTCTCAGGAGAATGCTACTGCTTCTCTCACAGCCCAAGGGCCCCAGTGGCACTTCCCAATTCCCTTCTCAGACCATTATCTCTTTCAGGACACTCCTCTGTGGCTCTGCCATCTGCTCTTGTCACTGTGTCCCTTCTCATTACTGTCATTGCTTCCCCCTACCCCTGCCTCCACTTGGCTGAAAATTCTGGTACCTGGCTCACAGTTATCCACTTTCCCCCAAATCCTGCTGCCACCCTGATTATCTTCATCATCCATGTGGACCATGTATCCAGCCCTATTCCTTCCGGGTGCCTTTGCCTCCACAGATCCAGTGATGTTCACCTCACTTCAATTCCATGACCCCTACTCATGCCTTTACCATGGGTCTTGTCTTTACCCTGAATATTTCTCCACGCTGAAATTCCAAATCCAAACTTTCCCCCCACAACCTTGTATCTTTCCACATCTCTTACTTGGTTACTCCAACTGCATCTGTTACTTGATCAGCTCCCCTTATTTTGACTTTCTTGTCTATTCACATTTCATTTCCAGGGTCGTCACATCAGTTACACTCTTGTCAGCATCTTCAAACACTCCATGACTCATCACCCTTCCACTCTGCCCTCTGGCGAAAACCCAAGTGTACACTTCCATGAGCCCATTTCCAGGCTTCTCAGAACAGGGCTGGGCTCTCAAGGCCGTCAAAAGAGGAAGAGACTGCAGTGGACTAGAACTCCAGAACCAGTAGTGAAGGCATCCCTTATTCTTTATTTACTTCTGTCAAAAAAACGGGTTCTTGACCAGATTTAATTCCATGGCAGTTAAAGGCAATATGTTATTAGGGAAGCAGGACTCCTTGCTCCTGTTTGTATGTGTTTAATGAGGAAAAATTAGGAAAACTAAAGCCAATATTAATATAATATGTACCTTTGAAAAGGTAATTCCCAACAGTGAAAAGCTTGGTTTCTCAGACCATTGTTTTTGAGATCTTAGAGACCACAAATTTATGAAAAGAGCTAAGAACTTTTTAAAAGAAATACATATTGTGTTTTCATGTATGTTTTGGTTTCAGTGATTAAATGAGCTGTGTCAGTTTATAGAGCTAAAGAGAATCTAAAATTATGGCTAGGACACTTGCGAAAAGCATTAATCTGGCTCACTTTATGATTTGGAGTGTGAGTGGATTTGTAGCCCCAAAGGTCATTTAGCAGATCTTCTCTGAGAGGTGAACTCTGAAGAACTCTACTCTATTGGGGTGCGTGGGTGGCTCAGTTGGTTAAGTGTCTGACTTCAGATTAGGCTGTGATCTTATGGTTTGTGAGTTTGAGCCCAGTGTTGGGCTCTGCACTGATGGCTTGGAGCCTGGAGTCTGCTTCGGATTCTCTGTCTCCTTCTCTCTCTCTCCACCTCCCTCACTTGGTGCTTGCTGTCTCTCCCTCACAAATAAAATAAAACATTAAAAAAGAAAACAACTGGGGGCGTCTGGGTGGCTCAGTCTGTTAAACGTCCGACTTTGGCTCAGGTCATGATCACACAGTTCGTGGGTTCGAGCCTCATGTAGGGCTGTGTGCTGATGGCTAGTTCAGAGCCTGGAGCCTGCTTCAGATTCTGTATCTCCTTCTCTCTCTGATCCTCCCCTACTCACGCTGTCTGTCTGTCTGTCTCTCTCTCTCAGAAACAAATAAAACATTAAAAAATATTTTAAAAAAACTGTACCTTCAGAAGTGCCTTTCCTTCCCTGCTCTGTTGTCATTTCTGAGATATCACCTAC